ATAATGCCGCGGACAAAACTGACAAGAGCCGTTTTCCAGGAACGTACCCGGATTACAAGGTGAGCAAATGACATTGGTCTGCGTGGCTGGCAAGTGAACCGAATCAGCGAAGTCATCACGGCAGATCTTCGGTTCAGACCACCTATATTCGATTTTGGTCTAAAGTACTAAAGTGTGTATGCGATAAGTACAAAGCAAACAACAGTATGATTTTCAGCATTGATGTTCAGCATCAAGATAGATGCTAATTTTGAGATGGTATGCTTTACAGTTTCCAACACCAAACTCCCCTCGAAAACACTAAGGGACATACCCAAAGAACACAATGGATATAAACTCCATGACAGGCAATTTCATACCACTGATAGGGAGTGCCCGCACTGTTACCACACATCGTTGTTTCTTGTTTCTGATGTGATGCTCAGTGGGTTCACAATCCAAGACGCAACTGAAAGTTCATCGGGCTACTTCACGGTTATACACACACACACACAAACACACACACAGAGACACACACACACACGCACACACACACACACGCACACACACATACACAATCACACACACACGTACACACACACGCACCATATGAGATAATGAAAAGTCACTTCAATAGTACCCGAAGCTCATGCAGAGGAACTCGAGAAATTTTCCACCAGAATATACAATGGCCATGTTTAAATGCAATTTTTTTCGCTCACCAATGTTTTTACATTCATTTTTCGTTTCATGCTCTTTTGTATTCTACCTCACTTTCATTTGATTTTTCTCTGAGCAGTTTTCTTCATTCAATATTTTATACTCTTTGTACTTTTCCTCTATTCAATCGTTTTTTAATTATTGTAATACCGGTCCCACAATGGCCAGCCATTTAGTAAGGCGATAGCTCAAAGCGATTATCTGATGTCGACAGACAGCACGCTACTCAACTCGTCGGAACATAATAGCACGGAAGCGCGGGAGGCTAAATGACCGTTGGAATGTACGTTAGTGAATGACGCGCTTCTT